TCTACTACAACTGTGGCATTTTGGGACATGAACAAAAGTTGTGCTCTGAACCAGAGAACAAGGCTCCGGAGGAGTTAGAGGAAGACAATGACAGTGAGGATGAAATAGGTAGCCAGAAGAAAAAGTTCCCCCTTGGCGCTTATGGTCCGTGGCAATGAGTTGAGTTTCACCTAAAGCTAGCCAACCGCGCCAGAATACAACATGACATGGAGGAGTGGAGATGCCGACAAAACTCAAGAACCAAGGAAAAGATCCGATTGGAGACGAATGGACTAGTCACCGGAGGAGGTATAGAAGACATGTTTCTGACTGAGACCAGTATAACCCAGACTTTGGACTACAAAGACCTAGGCCCAAGCATGTCTAGGACACGTGCCGACACTTCACTCACTACCACTGATTCTGGAAATATTTTCAAGATCGTTAGAAGTGAAGGTACCCCCTAGATAGGAACCTCGGGATTTGTAGAGAATTTTGTAAAGGACCTAGGAAACAAAGATAATTTGCCCCATTACATGACTAATAATCAGAATCAAATGCCCAGGGTGGAACTAATGGAAAATGTCAAAAACCTATCCTCAATGTTGCACTCAATCCTCGAAAGTTTTGGCGTGGCTCTGAATCAACTTGTAGTTTGCCGCCCAAACATTAATGTTTACGTGCAGACCTCTCCTAGCAAGATTTCAAAGTTACCAATTGGATCAACAGATTTACCTATAAAGGAGAGAAGAGGAGTTACTACAAAAAGACTCATGGGGAGTGAGGAAACGATACTTTGCAAGAAGGCCAGAACAGGGACTGAACTCCCTAGAATGACTGCTCCTGAGCTTTCAACCCATCAGCTGGCACCCACAAAACAAGACAAGTCTGAAAAAGACGATCTCAAAGGAAAAAAGAAGCTCATTGAGACAACTCGGCATCGGGTGAAGTCCAAGGGTAGACTCATGTTTAATGCCCAGAAATCGGTGACATCCACATCGGCGGCCCTAGAGGACAACCAAGGCTGTCGGGAGAAATGAATCTCCTGGCTTGGAATTGCTAGGGCTTGGGGCAAGACCTGGCAGTTCAAGCTTTGGGGGACCATTTAAGGACCCATTGCCCCGTTATCATTTTTATGATGGAAACAAAAGTTAATTCCTGCCAGATTAAAGCTGTCTTAGCTCGGTGGGGCTATACAAACTTCTTTGCGGTGGAGCCAATTGGTGATTCTGGAGGTCTACTAGTCACGTGGAAGCTAGAAGTTAGTCTAGAGGTTCTCTCGTCTTCTCCCATAATCATTAACACTCATGCAATATTCCCTCAGATCATAGCAACCTGGCAAATTTCTTTTGTTTATGGTGACCCAAATAGATCTTTCAAAAATGAAGTCTGGAACGATTTAAAGCAAATAGAGGCCTCTATAGACATGCCTTGTGTGGTGTTAGGAGATTTCAATGAAGTCACCCATATAAATGAGAAACAAGGGGGTAAAGTAAAGCAAGGAAATGCCTGGAGGAATTTTAAAGTGATGATTGAAGACTGCAACCTGATTGATCTAAGAAGTTATGGGAATCGGTATACTTGGTCGAACCACAGATCCGGAGCTAAGCTGATAAGGCAAAGGCTTAACAGAGTTCTAGTTAACTCAGAATGGAACGTGGTGTATACAAATGCAATAGTTTTTAATGAAGTTTCCATGGGCTCTGATCATAGTCCGATTATCCTCCAGTGTTTCCTTGGGTCGTAGAAAGGATTTCATCCATTATGCTTCAAACTAGCTTGGCTGACCCATGATGGGTGTGAAGGCATAGTGAAGCAAGTATGGAGCCAAGCTAATTCAGGGAATTTGGGAACTTTGTTGGGCATATGCTAGAGAGAATTGAGAAGATGGAATAAACAGGTATTTGGCAAAATACAAGATAAGATTTGGGATATTAAATTTCAGCTTCAAAGAGTTCAGTTTGCAATAGATAGTGACACTGCCTAAGAGAAAGAGCTTCTCCAACTCCTCAACCATGAGCTAGTGAGGGAAGAGATCCTGTGGAAACAGAAATCGTGGATCACCTAGCTGAAGGAGGGTGATAGTAATACAAGATTCAATAGTCAGCTCTCTTTCGAAGACAAAACAACAGGATCCTGTGCCTAAAAAACGATCAGCAAAATTAGGTAAGATCTAAACAAGGCATTGAACAGATCATCACAAATAAGTTTCAACAGATATTCTCCCCTAATACCTCTAGTACCATGAACGGAATGGTTGATAACATCAAGATGGTGCTCACTAATGACGACAACAACGCATTGTGTAGGCCAATCAGTCATGAAGAGGTGTTCTCAGTAGTATCCTCAATTGGCAGTATGAAGGCCCCTGGCCCTGATGGATACCCTACCGATTTCTTTTAGAGGTTTTGGTCCATAATAGGAGATAGTGTCACAAAAGCCATCCAAAAGTGGTTTGACAGTGCAGTAATTCCGGGAATGGTAAACTTCACAAGCATTGTACTCATTCCCAAGTCTAATCACCCAGAAACTATCTTACATTACAGACCAATTAGTTTAACAAATGTGGCATACTGAATCTTGGCTAAGTGCCTAGTGAACAGATTGCAATTGCTTTTACCTAAGATGGTGGACAGAGTCAAGGAGCATTCGTTAAGAATAGAATGATCTCTGACAATGTGGCCATTGCACATGAAACTTACAATTTTTTGAAGTCCAAAAGGAAAGGTAGGACATTCTACATGGCAATCAAAATTGACCTTAATAAAGCCTATGATAGGCTAGATTAGCATTTTGTAATTGAAGTTCTTAGAAAAATGGGTATGAACCAACACTGGCTAAATCTTATTTATACTTTCATGTCTTCGATAAACTTTACTTTCAATATCAATGGAGTTCAAAGAGGAAGGGTGAAGCCATATAGGGGAATTCGGCAAGGTGACCCTCTCTCGCCCTACCTTTTCATTCTGGTAGTACAAGCACTCTTAGAGGCTATCCAAAGAGTAGTATCAGAACAACATATTGAGCCACTTTGCATCAAAAGAGGTACCCCACCACTCTCTCATTTATTCTATGATGACGACTGCATTCTGTTTGCTAGAGCAGATCTTCAAAGTGCAGATATGATCCGATTGATCCTTCAATAATTTTGCAATGCTTTGAGACAACTAATAAATTACAATAAGTCAGAAATTTTCTTCAGCCGGAACACTCCAAGGAAGTTTTGCAGGATGATCTGCAAGATGCTAAGAATGAAAGAACATAATCTGAATTCCAAATGTTTGGGGCTGCCTACTCTCATTGGTCATAACAAAAAGAAAGTTTTTAGAGAGATGGATTGTAAATCTTCTCAGCGGATAAGTGGGTGGAAACAAAAGCTTCTTACCCAAGCCAGTAGGGAAATTCTTATCAAAACTATTGCCATGGCTTCGCCTTCTATTACATAAGCCACTTTAGAATACCAACGATTGTCTATGATGACATTAACTGAAAATTCTCAAGTTTCTTCAGGGGTCAAAAAACAAATGAGATTACACTGGCTAAATTGGAAGCTCTGCCTAATCAAATCTTAAGGAGGTATGGGCTTTCGAAACATAAAGCTTTTCAATTGGGCCCTCCTTAGGAAAATGGCATGGAGACTACTAAATAGTCAGGATTCCTTGTGGGGAAAACTTCTTATATCTCTGTATTCAGCTAGATCACCACTACTAACTTGAAATTGCCCACCTTGTTCCTCTTGGCTTTGGCAAAGTATCAGTTATGTATAGAACTTAAAAACGGTCTCTATTGGCGAATCGGTTCTGAGGCCAACATACTTATTTGAGAAGATCATTGGCTGCCTTCCTCTGAGGATTTTAAATTCCATTCCTCCAAACCCCAGAGATGTGAGGTCTCGAAAGTAAAGGATTTGATTTTATGCAACCCACACCGTTGGAATCAGACAATGTTGACCAGTTGTTCTCAGCATCAGAGGTTGCATGTATCTTGGCTATACCACTGAGTATGGAAGAGGAGGAAGATAAACTCATTTGGGCTTACTCAAAGGATGGTCAATACTTGATGAAATTTGGTTACCAAATTGCCTGTATGTTAAATGAAGAAACAAGAAGGGCAGCCAATAATCGTATCACAACACAAGCACCTCCATCTCTATGGAAGAAAGTTTGGAAGCTGAAAGTTCCTCCTAAAATTAAAAATTTCATTTGATGGGTATGCTAGCAAGCCATTGGTGTTGGTAAGGAGTTGAAGCAGAGGCGAATTAAAATTGATGGGATATGCCCAAGGTGTGGGCAAGAGGAGGATGTAAAACACCTCCTTATCAGTTGTTCATTTGCAAAAGCAGTCTAGTTCCAATCCCCATTAGGCTTCATTTCTAAGAGTGTGGAATCCAGGAGCATAGGTATTTGGATCATGTCTTGGTTTCAAAAGACCAACTACCTTGATGAAGGCCTAAATACTTGGCATCTCTGAAAGCGATCCTATGCTGGCAGATTTGGAAGGCTAGGAATGATCTCATGTTTTAGGGAGAAAGCTAGGACCCGCTATCAGTAGTAAGGAAGAGCACTAGTATGTGGAAGGAACTCTTACAACTTACAGAACATTTGGAACCAAAAATCAAATCAAATAATATATGGCACCCCCTCCAAACCAATGGATGAAGGTGAATTGTGATGCTAGCTTTGACGCATCCTCTGGGTGGGCAGGAATCGCCTGTGTCATAAGAAATCAGGAAGGGAAAGTCATTGGTGCTCGAGGAGATCGAGTTTGCTGCCAATCAATTGTTGATGCTGAAGGAAGAGCCATTTGGTTGGGCTGCTAGGAAGCTCTAAAAAAAGGGATAGATAGAATTCTGGTGGAATCCGATTCTTTGAAAGCTATTTTAGCTGTCAACTCTAATAAACAATTTGACTTTAACCCCTCAAAAAATGTATGGTCAGATATTTGTAATGCGTTTTATCCAATTTAAAGTCCTCCACGGTGGTAGGAAGACAAATAGGGTAGCTCACCATATAGCTCGTGCAGCCATTTCCCCCGGTTTTAATCTTTTGATAGCAAACCACTACTCTACTTGGTTTGGTCCATCTGAGTTCCTCTGTTTTGAACATGTGTACCCCCTTAATGTTATTTTAATAAAAAGTTTTTGATCTCGTGGAGAACTGGAGACCTCTCCTCTGTCCTGTCACAGAAAAATTCATTTGTTTGTTTAGAAAGCTCTGTTGTCGCACCTCACCTCAATCCTTCCCAAGTCCCAAGTTCAGAACTCATCCAAAGCGGAGTCCTTGGAGTGTCTCGTCCAGACCTACTATCAAGGCCCCTGTTCACCGTGGACCCTTTTGATATCTGATAATAACAAGGAAAGAACGAGCTCCCATCTCTGCTCTTACTTCAGCAAATCCCACAGAGAGAATTTCAACGTTGGTAAGTTCAAAGCTCTTTGCTTCTTCTGGGTTGTTTAGTTTTTTTTGGTGGCCATTGTTTTACTGGTTGTGAATTCAATTGATTCCACAAATTGCATTAATAAGAATATTTGCCCCCATTATACTCTCTCTATATGTGCGTTTACATGTGCAGATATGCGCAAGTATCATGTCTTTCGGGTTATTCTGCTTACGGTCAGACACTATTCTAGGGTATCGCCGCCCTCTCCTGCCCGTGCTACTTCAGTGATACGAGTGTCCAATAACATTGCACGTTTGGGATGCCCGAAGGAGGACCCAAAGCCCCGTCAACTCCTTTCCTTGCCTCCGTTCCCCGGTCATCCCTTGCCTGGGAAGAGCTCCGTCAGTGTTGCTGGGCAATCTGCTCATGTCACCGCCATTAGTTGGGTCAAATACTACTTTGATGATATCCCTGGCCCTGTAATACAGTCACATTTTAACAAAGGTCTGGTGAGTATTTGCATTTTTGGATGTTTTGTGTATCAAGATTTCTTCCTAACATTACTTGGATATCATTCTGGATTAAATAGGATGTATTAGATCAGCAGAAATAAAGATTAATATCTAAGTTTATATGAGAATAGAAAAGAATGGTGTAAACTCTATCTTACTTGGTTACTTGAGGCATTTTATTGTCTTTTTTTTGAGTTCATTACATATCTGGTGCTTGCTTTCTTGGTTCTTGAAGAAGTTATAATTTGGCATGCTTTTTATTTAATCATAAATATACTTCATAGATAAACGCATAACCATGCCAATACAGATAGCCATCAAGCAATAGACACATAAGAAAACATCCTAATGTGTTTGCACACAGAACAAATGTATTTTTACATTGTGGGGGAGACAGGGAATTAAATGGTAGAAGAAAGCGGGAGAGATGAAACTCTTAGCACTATGCTTTGGACTTCATTTTTTATCTGATTTATGGTGATTTTTACTGAGCCCTCTTTGAAGTGCCAAGTGTCATCATTACAAACCATTCTCCATGTTTTTAAGTTAATAACACCATTTTTATTTTGGATGCTGCTCTTTCTGAAACTCAATCATCTTTGGTCAATATTTTTTATTTGATTACTTAGTTGTTTCTTAACTCGTATTTAGTATTATCCATAAAAAATGTTTCTTATTTAATATCCTGTATATTTCCTCATGATTTACTTTTAAAAGCCTTAATTTTTAGGAGTTTTGCCTCAAGCAAAAGTGTATATCCTACTAGGGGAACATTTGAAAGATTTTTTTTTTTCAACTATGTTCATCTTTTAGGTTAAGATGGCATGCCCAAATCCAGGTGATTTATTGATGGAAGAGCAAGGCCAAATGCAATCCTTGAAAAAGGTACTCATACTTGTGTTTGGTATTTTGGAGCCTTAGTTTTAAGGCTCATTGAACAAATCAGTCAATAAATATATTTGGTTTTCCTTATTCTCTTTGTCCATTCATATTGTGTTCAATTGTACTTTGGGTGATTTGTCTACAGTATTCCAGGCTTTTTGCAGATTAGTCCTAATGAGGTCATGGAAGTTGGTTCAAGAATATATGTACCTGTTTCGGTTATTGAGACTAAAATTTCCAAGAGATTTGACACTATACCAAGTGGAACTCTTTATCCAAATGCTGATGAAATAGAGTACTTGCAAAGGCTTGTGATGTACAAGGCATGTTTTTCTTTGTATCCCCATTTTAGACCATTTTTTTATTGTCTTTGTGTTAATAAAGTTATTTGTGGGTGTGTTCTAGATGTTCGACTTGTGTTTTTTTTATTGGAAACTTAAAGAGATTTATTAGAACTTAAAAAGAGAACAGTACAACTAGAAGTTGTTAGAGATAACACCCAATACAGCAGAGAGCCCCACTACCCAACTAATATTGAGCCCAAAACAAATAATGTCTTTTTGCTCCTTGTTTAGCTAAGCCATCCACCAAACCATTAGCAAACCTCCTAACCCATCTTCACTGGATTTGCATATGTCTTGACAGCATCTTGAACCGCCTGAGATCATTTCTCAATTGCCATAATACCCATTCTCTTTCTTTCAGCCAGCCAATGACTATTTTAGAATCTCCTTCTACTATTAATCTTGTAATCCCCATTTCTTTGGCTTTTTGCACGCCAACAATAGCTGCCAAGAGCTCAGCTCTCACTAATTCCCCCTGCCCAATAGGCACCGAAAACAAACCACAAATGATCCCACTTACATCCCTAATTACTCCAATTCCGGAGGGACCTGGATTACCAAAGCTACTTCCATTGAAGTTAAGTTTCATCCAACCTTCCCTTGAGGGAGACCAAACCTCCCAGACCTTTTGATTCCTAGAGGAAGAAAAGGCAATTGACCTCCAGTTTCGGAGAAAGTCCTCTGTTGAAAAATCAGAGAATAGTTTCAAAGTCCTCACCCAATGAGCAACTCTAACAATAATAGTCTCCAAGATAACTTCCTTGTTTCTTTCTTTATCCTAAAAATTTCTGAACTTCCTTTCTTCCCACACAGTCCATACAACCACTGCTCTCGCACATTTCCACAAAATTCTGCCTCTTCTATTTGTGCATCTCAGGAAGGATGGGCTAAAGAGACTTTCCAAACTAATAGGAGGGCTCCACCTACAACCAAAGAAAGAGTAGAACCATTCCCAAATACATAAAGCAAAAGGGCAGGAAATAAAGAGATGGAAAACAATCTCACCATTCAACTTACACAAAATGCACCAATAGGGAGACAAACACCAATTTGGTCTTTTCTTTTGCAACAGATCACCTGTATTGATGCTCTTATGATAAGCTTCCCAACAAAAGGCACTAACTTTTGCAACAGATCACCCGGTTGCTGTTCACTCCACCATTCCTTCATTCTTTGTTTGAATATAGGAAGGGTTAGCTACAAGTTCTCAAACCTAAAAGGGGTAGGGCCACCGACGACTCCTTGTTGGAAGGCACAGATTGGCCAATGGTTAGAGGAAAGTCTCGGCAAAGCTCTCCCTAATAAACCACTCCAGTGCTCTTCCCAATGAACTAAAACCAAGAACCTGTCCAATTTAGAGAAGATCGGATTAGCTTGAAGGTTGGACCAAGTAAATCTAGATTGCCCCAGAGGTATGTCTCTCAAGTCATAGGAATCAATAAAAGCACTGAAATTCCTCATGCTGGTTGTTACTCTCTACCTGGTATTGCCCATTTCTTCTACAAATCTTACCATATTAAAGTCTCCGCAAATAAACCAAGGCCCTTCCCATAAACCCCTGATATCAGCCAACTCTTCCCACATTAGGTTTCTTTCTTTATATGAATTGGGACCATAAACACTTGTTAACACCCATTCAAGCCCATCATGGACATTTTTCAATTTAACCGACACAGTGAAGTTCCCTATTAGTTCTTCAGAGTACTGAACTAACTCCTTCCAAACAGTTATTATACCCCCGGAGGCACCCCAAGAAGGATGGAGACTCTAACTTAATTTTCTTTCACCCTAAAAGCTTCTAACCCAACTCCTATCCAGCTCATGAATCTTAAACTCTTGGATTAGAAGAATATTCGACTTTTCTATTCTTAGAAGTTCCTTAATTGTTCTCCTCTTTGTGGCACTCCCTAACCCCCTTACATTCCTGTGAACTAAATTCAGAGCAAGAAGAAAACAGATCTAGGGGTGTCTAGAATAGTTGACCCCCACCCCAAAGAGTCTCTTTTATATTAAAGAGATAGAAGATATGTATAGTTAAAAGAATTTCCTTATAGGGCTGAAAGATAAAAAGAACAAATAAAATAATAAGAATACAATACTGTACAAGGACTACTCTAATAGTGTACATCAAGATATATCTTCGCACTCCCCCTTAAACTGATGTGTAGACATCAGCATTAGTTTGCCCACAGGAATGAGATGTTGACTTTTAGTCATGGCCTTGTGAAGATGTCAGCAATTTGCATGTGAGAGGCTACATGAGGAAGAGATATAGAGCCTGCAACAAGGAGGTTTTTAATAAAGTGAAAATCCACCTTGATATGTTTAATCCTCTCATGAATGACTGGATTAGATCCGATCTTGATAGCGTTGGTGTTGTCGGCATACAGAGGGATAGGAGTAGGAAGAGAAATACCAAGATCCATGAAAAGTGATTTCATCCAAACAATCTTGCTACATACAGAAGACATAGCTCTATACTCAGCTTTAGTGGAAGACTTAGAGACAATTTGCTGTTTCTTGCACTTCCAGGAGATGAGAGAGTCATCCATGAAGATGCACCAACTGGTAGTGGATTGATGAGTGTCAGGGCAACCAACCCAATCAGCATCCGCATAAACCTTTAACTGTATGGATGATGAAGAAGAGAAAAACAATCCCTGAGAGGTTGTGTCTCTAACATAACGGATAATGCGTCGAACAACAATCATATGAGGTTGTCTCGGGGCAGAGACAAATTGACTGATGACCTGAACAGCATGTGAAATATCAGGCCTGGTCATAGTAAGATAGATCAAAGAGCCAACAAGCTGACGGTATAAGGTAGCATCAGGAAGGATGAGGCCTTCGGATTTATATAGCTTGACGTTCAGCTCCAGGGGGTATCAACATGTTTCTCATTAGTGATTCCAGCTAGTTTGATGAGATCAGAGGCGTATTTTTGTTGACAAATAAAATACCCTCAACTGCTACGATGAACCTCCAAACCCAAGAAGTAAGTAAGAGGACCCAGGTCCTTCATGTGAAATGAGTTATGAAGTTAGGACTTCAGCTAACAAATGCTGTCATGATCACTGAAGACTCACCCTTGGTAGATAGTGTCTGTTGCTGGTCTATCTGTTGCTGGATAGGCCCGGGGCTGAGTCTTTTTCTGAGAGCCCTTAGTTGGTCCGACTAGACAGTCTGGAATGATGTGACCATGTTGCTTGCAATAGGTACACACATTCTTCTTCTTACAATGAGATTCAACATGTCCGAAACCCTTACACTCATAGCACTGGGTTTTGGAGAAGTCGTCGGAGGTTGGCTTCTTACCCCCATGAGCAACAAAGGCTGTTTCAGCCCCAACTTCAGCCATTTTCCTATCAAACCCGGCTGTAGTGAGAAGTCTAGTCTCTTCCCTTAGAAGTTCCCTTAAAACTTAAAACAAAATCCATATCTAGAAGTGTTCCCCTACTCAGAATGTTGGACCTGATTATCTCATATTCAGGTCTAAGTCTCATCAAGAACTGAGTCACCTTTATCTTCTCAAAGTGCTTATGAAGATATTTCACACACTCCACTGGATCTAAGGGTTCAATGTGAACAATCTCATATTTAGCCCATAAATCAAGAAAACCAGAATAATACTCCTGTATCCTCCTATCTCCTTGGCTGTAAGAGAATATTTCTGATTCCATCTGATATTGTTTAGATATGTTGGACTATTGATAAACTTTTTCTAGATACATGTACATCTCATATGATGTTTTCATTCTCCTCATGGGTACAGATATATGATAATTAATAGAACTCAGAATCCAAGAAACAAGTATACCGTTATCCAACTTCCATTGTTGTAGAGCTTTGGCCTCGGTCTCAGCTGGTTTGGTGACCGTTCCATTCAGATGTCCTTCTAAACCCTTTCCCTCAACATAAAAGTTGAAGTGGAACTTCCACATCCCATAGTTCTGTCCATTCATCTTTACAGGAATGATATCACCTCTATCTGAAGCCATTACAGCAAGAAAATAGCACAAAATAGGGTTCGGATGAAGTTTAAAGAGACTAAACTGAAGTAAAACTTGACCCAAAGACGAGTAAAATAGGCTGTAATCAATCCAAGAGAGTAAAGAAAACTGAGATAGAAACCCTTACTTTCACCGGAGATTGTTCAAGATCCAAAACAAAGAAAAGCTGAACACACAGTCCAGAAAAGGAAAGTCTGGGCGCAGCAGCCAAGAAGAAGAGTCTAGATCTCTCTCAAAACTTCACGGATCTCCGTAAAAATTTCAGAATATGTTGAGAAGGGCTAGGCGACAACTCCTTTCAATTCTTGCTGCAAACGGAGGTCAAACAAGAGAGATCCAATAAAATCTCTCTCTCTAGATGTGCAGAAAACAGAAAAGGGGTTCCTGGAGAGATCAAAACAGTCCAGGACCACTTGGCAGAGATGTAGGTTCTCAATAGGTCACGAAAACAAGGTGGATCAGAGAGAAGGAAGATCAAAGAGCAACCTGCTCTGATACCATGTGAACTGAATTCAGAGCAAGAAGAAAACAGATGTAGGGGTGTCCAGAACATAGTTTTCAAGGCGCCTAGGCAAGGCTAGGCGACCACAGGGCGCCCAGGCGCCTAGGTGTTGGAATTTTAAAATGCTTGTTTTATTGACTTTTTACTTTATATATGCTTTTCAGACATGTAATTCAGCCATAAAAAAAACATTTGATTCAATTCAGCCATACAATCACTGAATCAGCCATAAAAAAATCAGTCATAAAAAATTTGAATGAGAAGAAGAATCAGCCATAAACATTTGATTCAAGTTTCAGATTCAAGACATTTAATTCAGCCATAAAAAAATCAGCCACATAATCATATATATTAATGATATAAAAAAAATTGAATGAGAAGAAGAAGAATTAAAGAAGAGATTAAAAACTGAGATGATTCAAGACTTCAAGTGTGAAACTGTGAATGACTGAAGGGAGGAGAAGAGT